TTACTTCCCTATCCCATGCCTGTGCCCTGTCCTGCACATTACTCCACTATCCAATGCCTGTGCCCTGTCCTGCACATTACTCCACTATCCAATGCCTGTGGCCTATCTTGCACATTACTCCCCTATCCCATGCCCTGTCCTGCACATTACCCCCTATCTATGCCCGTCCTTAGCTTACACATTACTCCCCTATCCCATGCCTATCTTGCACATTACTCCCCTATCCCATGCTTATCTTGCACATTACTTCCATATCCTATGCCCGTGCTTAGCTTGCACATTACTTCCATATCCCAAGTCCGTGCTTATCTTGCACATTACTTCCCTATCTCATGCCCGTGCTTAGCTTGCACATTATTTCCCTACCCCATGCCTGTGCTTAGCTTGCACATTACTTCCCTATCCCAAGCCCGTGCTTAGCTTGCACATCACTTCCCTATTCCATGCCCGTGCTTAGCTTGCACATTACTTCCCTATCCCAAGTCCGTGCTTAGCTTGCACATTACTTCCCTATCCCATGCTTATCTCGCACATTACTTCCCTATCCCATGCCCGTGCTTATCTCGCACATTGCTTCCCTATCCCAAGCCCGTGCTAATCTTGCACATTACTTCCCTATCCTAAGCCCGTGCTTATCTTGCACATTACTTCCCTATCCCAAGCCCGTGCTTATCTTGCACATTACTTCCCTATCCCAAGCCCGCGCTTATCTTGCACATTACTTTCCTATCCCATGCCCGTGCTTATCTTGCACATTACTTCCCTATCCCATGCCCGTGCTCTGTCCTGCACATTACTCCCCTGTCCCCGCTTCATCTGTAGGAGGATGGTCAGAAGCTACAGAACCTTTCAGACTCGATTGAAGAGGGCACCATGCCTACAGAACTTTCCGACGTTATAAAGCGGCTCTGGAAGGACAGTGGGGTGCAGGCCGCTTTCGAGAGGGCCGCTGAGTATCAGCTAAATGATTCTGCTTCCTAGTGAGTATGTTGGAGGAGACTCCCATGGACACATGGAAATGGCGACTCAACTGCACACAAGACATCAATATAAGCTTTAAGCAGAGGTGAATAATTCAGGTCCAGACCAATATTTTGTTTCAGGGGTGGCATGCCGGTGCAGTGGTTAGCACTGTCGCCTGGTGCAGTGGTTATCACTGTCGCCTGGTGCAGTGGTTAGCACTGTCGCCTCACACCTTCGGGAGCTGTGTGTGGAGTTTGCATGTTCGCCCCGTGTTGTCGTGGGGGTTTCCCCCACAGTCCAAAAACATGCTGAGGCTGATAGGAGTTACCAAATTGCCCATTGGTGTGCATGTGTGAGTGTGCCCTGTGATGGTTGGTGCCCCATCCTGGGTTAGTGACATTCAATTTGGCACTGTCATAGGAAGTCGTCTTTCTTTGTCGTCAGTTTGTCAAACTTCTGCCCTGTTCAAACACAAGTGAAGTAAAAAATCTGAGAGCAGGCCACACAAACTCATAGAAGAGGACCTGATCAGCCAGCATCGATACCCAGTCTGATTGGCAGGAAATCCCATTGTCGGTGTTCCAGTATGTAATGGAAGCCTTCCCAAGTTGAGTGGAGACTATTGTAGCCACAAACGGTAGCCCAGCTTCATATTAATACCTTCATAATTTCAGAATGAGATGTTGAACAAGCTGGAGTCAACATACTTTTGGCTATATAAGTCTATAAATTGTTTTGGACTGTTTTATACTGTATTTGTGTTGATAAAATCAAATTCACAATAATAACAATCATGAATTTGCACTGACATTGAAATCTACACATTTGTCATAGCTACCTGAATGACCTGGACCGGATTACCCAGCAAGACTATATGCCTACTGAACAGGACGTCCTACGATCTCGAGTGAAGACCACTGGCATCATCGAGGAGCAGTTCTCCTGCAAGGAGCTGCACTTCAGGTTGGAGACTAGGAGCTCTGCTCGTGCAGTTCTGCTGTAGTGCAACTCTTCTAAGAATGGTGACTTCTGGAATGTATCATGAGATAATAGCAGTAGAACCATGGTTAGTCCTACCTGTGTCCTCTTTCTGACAGGATGTTTGATGTGGGTGGCCAGCGGTCAGAGCGTAAGAAATGGATCCACTGCTTCGAGGGAGTGACTTGTATTATCTTCTGTGCGGCCCTCAGTGCCTACGACATGGTCCTGGTGGAAGATGATGAAGTGGTAGGTTCTGGATTTTTCTAGATCTGAACTGCAATGTAAAAATGCAGTGAACTCTGGGTAAAAGCCAGCTCACCCAAATTTCTAAGCTGAATTACGTATTCAAATCGCCTTGGTACTATATTCTGTCTCTGTTCGCACTAGAAATGTAGAAGAACTCTGTGTTTCTCCTCTCAGCCCAGCACACACCATATTCTCTCCACAGAACCGCATGCACGAGAGCCTCCACCTCTTCAACAGCATCTGCAACCACAGGTTTTTTGCTACCACTTCCATCGTGCTGTTCCTTAACAAGAAGGATCTCTTTCAAGACAAGATCAAGAAGGTCCACCTCAGCATCTGCTTCCCCGATTATAACGGTAGGTGTCCACTGGGAAGCCTGCTGAGAGGCTCATCAGACATGGTGGGTCAGGGGTGGGTTTTTGCTGCAACTCCCTAACTAGATTAGTAATTAGAGGAGTGATTAACTGAAAAGTCCTCACAACTGGGTTCGAACTGCTGATCTAAAGGTTATCCCAAAAACCAAAATACTACTTTGCTGATAAGATTGCCCACCCCTGGTCTAGAGTTACAGATATTATCGTGGTCATATGATCACAAGCATAAAGCAAACTGTTAGGGCTCTCTCAGGAAAGTGAAGTAAATTTAAGTAACAAATGTAATGAATTTTCTACATGCAGCACTTTTTTATCAACACCTTCCTAACACGTCCTAACAGGTCCCAACACGTACGATGATGCCAGCAACTACATTAAGCTTCAGTTCCAGGACCTGAACATGAAGAAGGGAATTAAGGAGATCTATGCCCACATGACCTGTGCCACAGATACGGAGAACGTCCAGATTGTGTTCAATGCCGTCACAGACATCATCATCAAGGAAAATCTTAAAGACTGTGGTCTGTTCTGAGCTAGAACAAGAAGGTAAACCGGCATTTGTTTGTGCCATAAAGAAGTAGAATATTATATATGGACAAAACATTACACATTAAAATTTCATTACACGTTGTTAGCCGCTTTAAGTGTAACAGTTCAGTGGCATCTCTGTCAGCATCTCTGAGCAGTGGCAAATACTTTGTCAGTTTACTGCATGAATCTGTGGATTTTACATTAGTGAAAGAGTGACAAAGTGTAAATTCATTGTTTAAAGTTTTATTCACATTTAAGCTACAGTTCACTACCCAACTGAGCTTCGAGGTGATTTTGGTTGCAATTACCGCTCGGCGTCACTCCAAGCTGACATCTCAACTTTTGTTTCCTGTAGACGTCCCTAGGTCCCCTTTCTATCCTGATCAGACTGGCTTTACTTCAGAGTACTGTGATGTAACACTGGGACAGACGACCAACCCCTGATGATGATGTCACTTCCTCCCCAGAGACTCCACCTCTGAACAGCAGTCTTCCTCCATCAGACACAATAAGAAATGCAGTCATGCACCTTCCAGGGGTAAATGTAGCATATAATGAATGAACAAGAACATTCATCTATGAGGACAGTATAAAAATTCTCAAGAGACTCGCTTGACCAATGAACTTAGCCTCTTAACTCTGAGCAGTAAGTCATCCGTGTTGGCTGTTAGTAGCCTACTGAGAGAGCAGGTAAAATCTTGGTTTAGAGAAGCAACAAACATCCTCAGCCCTCTTCTTGTGGAAAACCAAACTGGACAACATAGCAGTATTAAAGAAAAAGGTTTTGAATAACTGCCTAACTTTTGCCCCAATAATGTTCAGTTTCTCTAAGACTACAAACAAATTTAATGCAAATAGTTGAAAAACATTCAATTTCAACGTGTAACATTCCCCAGAAGAAAACACTGTATGTAGGATGTATTTTGTAAATAAAATAGGTATATTCTCTATATTACTAAGAAAATATACTTAAATGTAAAATATTAGACATACAGCTTTGGTAAAAAATTAATGTGGAATGAACTCCTGCTTGTCCTGAATTGTATATCTTAGTGGTATAAAATAAAGACGCATTAATTGCATCGCATGTCCCAGGTCATTATCACCCTTTCATAATGTACATATATATGCATGCTAACTGCAGAAACACATCCTTGCTTTGTGATTCATAATGTCTTATAGTCTAAATTATAAAGGATCTATATAGCAGTGGTCTCCAACCTTTCTGACAGCACTGCATATACTGAACACTGCGGTATCTCCCGTGGCCTCCTCCAGACTTGTCTGAAAGGCTTATTTTTTATATTTTTATCAAAAATGCATAATACACAAAAAGGGCAAAGCCATTTACGAAGAAAGGTCTCTTGATAGATTGCCGGCGTGAAGGTCTGATTGCCGCAATCGACTAGGACTCTCTGAGAGATGGACCTGTCGATGTCGATCGACTGCTTGCCGACCACTGCTGTATAGCATGTCATGGTCTTATGGCTCTACAAATGCAACATCTTTGGCGGACTCCTCTGGACTTGTTGGGAATGAATACTGTGGTCGATAATGCACACCACCCACAGGGAGCCCGAGAGAACACACACAGGCTTGCTGTATGTAACTTTGCACTATCTTGCAGAGTAATAAACAGTTCAACAGGGCCATTCAGGTGAAGTGCCCCCCCCCCCCCCAGAAGGCACCACTACGGTTCACATTGCCAGAACTTGGATCTGCAGCCTCTTGACCAAAAATTGGAATTTCGGTGACCGAATGATGGATTGCTTTTCCCTGCTTGGAATTTGACTGTCAAAAGCAAGGCCAAATACGAAATAGAAGAAATGCTCTTGTAAGAATGAACTGCCTTTCACTGTCAGAACTAAAATGTCAAATTCCACCTGCTGCTGGTTGGACAAATGCTGCGTTTATGAAAAGTGCCCTAGTGCACCCATCACTGCATCTCTATATCCAGGTAAAAAGGAGGTTTCACTCGAATGGCCGTTAAACCGGGCCTTGAAAGAAACTGCAAGCAGCACACGCTTCCAAGGGGCACCAAGCGGCCCCGTTAAACGGCTCGTTACTTCAGTCCCTCTGGCTGTGCCTTTTATCTCAAATCAGAGTCCAGCCTTCAAAAGCAATAAAGCAGTAGCACCCGTGGGAGACCAGATCAGAGCCTGGTACTGAAATCCCAAATTTCCTGAAGCATGTGTCCTTCTGAACTTGTGTTACTTATCTATTGCTTTGAAGTGAATCAAACTGGATGTTTCATACACGCGATTCAGTGCAAAGAATCCTGGGATATGAGACCTTGTCATTCCACTATTAACCGCTTCACCACCTGCTGTCTGGTGAAAAGAACTGCAGCAAAATAGCTGAAATCATACTTGTCGACAGCACTAAGTGCTAAACAAACACCACATCACACTCAGAAAAAACAACAAAACACATTTATTTCTTTAAATTTTAAAAAATAACTGAACAATTTTCCCCCCCACAATGGCTACATACGTGGCACAAGATAAAGAGCATCAGCTGAGCGAATACAATGTCAGAGTGTGCCTCCATACTACTCGATCAGAGTGTGCCTCCATACTACTCGGTCAGAGTGTGCCTCCATACTACTCGGTCAGAGTGTGCCTCCATACTACTCGGTCAGAGCGTGCCTCCATACTACTCGGTCAGAGCGTGCCTCCATACTACTCGGTCAGAGTGTGCCTCCATACTACTTGGCCAGAGTGTGCCTCCATACTACTTGGTCTCATATTAGACGGCGCTTCTGTGCAGAGGAACTGAAGAACCGGTGCCATGGAAACCTGACGCTGATGTGCAGGGATCCAATCACAGGCTGGTGCGGTCACGTGCAGAAGGAGCCACCATCCTCAGATGTTGCAAAAAAACACACAAAAAAAGATGTTTTCAGTAGTAAGTTCCACACTAAGCGCTACTGGGATTGAAGAAAAAAAAAATCTATATCCATCACTGAATTGAAAATATCAAGCAGTGAACTCCACCATAAAGCCCATTTCTATATCATGCAGACATTCCGGGTTAAAAAACATCTAACAGCTGACTGTATAACAATTGGAATTAAAAACCAGACAAAAATGTTGTACAGGTGACAATATCCAAAAATATAAAAAAAAACAAGGGGCTGTTTCTTTTCAGTCCAACGGCACAGATTCATATTCAGGCTGACTGACTGCCGGATGTGGAATGCATGGTCACAAAAATAAAACTGAATTCTGCTTTGGCTCAAAAGGTCAAGCAAATCACCCTCGTCCTGCATGCAGCCGTCTCCGGGGGACAGACAGACAATCAGCATTCACGCCTCATTCCTGATACACCCATTAGCAAATGTGTTTGAAAAGAAAAGCCAAAACTAACCAAATGCTTAAGAAGAAATGTTTTAGACAAAACCAAAAATAAAAGCATTGCTAAAATTCCATATTTACAAAAGGCAGAGCGTGTCATGATACTGCAGGTGAAAGAGCTGAGAGGGAATTACATGTTAGATAGCTGTGCTTTCAATCTGGATTGAGGGGGGAAAAAATCGTTTTTTTGTTAAGTATGCATAGTAATCAAATACTGAAGTGGAGAGGAACAGTCCACATTTAAACAGAAGTCTGGGCTGAAATGTAGGGAAAGTGTTTAGATTTCTTTGTCATCCATAAGAGTGCCAGACTGCTTCATGTGGCACTTAGCTTTCATGGAAACACATATTAATAATAATTACACTTAAGACACAGCACAGCTCTCTGAAGGTAACGCGGCGTACTTCCATCCTATTTACATAGCTCTGTCCTGCCAAACAAAAAGAGGACTGTCTCAAAGCAGTAAGGTTGGGGGGGGGGAATGTAGAAAGTTGTGCTGAGGCGCAGGGTGTGCAGCGTGGTCACTTGCATGGAACACCCCCGTTGACACTTGAGCCATGCCCGTTCACATGGCTGGCTGATGCTGCAGGGCTGAGATCCGGGGTGGCCTGTCAAGAGGGGGGAGAGGGCAGAGAAAGAGCAGTAATCAGATGACGCACATTCCAGCATGCAGGGGACGGCCGTCTTCTGGGGCACGCATGGGGGAGACTGAACTGTGTTATGAAAGCTGGAGGTTACTGAACGCTTCTGAAACAAAGACACCAGTAGGCAACAAGAGGAAGGACATGCAGGCTGGGCCGCCTCCCCCCTCAGCTGTGACCTCCGGCATCCTTGGGTGGGGGGGTCACTTCACAGAAACCATTTGTTTTGCCTACAATTACACCCGCAAGGCACAAAATGGAGACTCGCACAGCATGAAGGACAGAAAAGGCTGCCTCATATGCGGATCTGGGGGGTGGCAAGGGGTGGCTGTTGGCACCCCAGACTGAAACCTAGCCACCCACTGCCCCCCCCCCCCCATATTTGCATTTTTGTGGCATTTTCGTCTTTAACAGAATTACATTTCTATTAGCAGCGGAACTTTTCTCTACAGTTGCAAGACACCTGGGAAGCACCTAAACTGCGCACACAGACAGCAAAGGTTCGTCCTGTCTTTGTGAAATTCAATTCAATAATTATAGTCCATGCATTTCTAATACTGCCCCTGCACACTGTAATTACTGAGTCATTGATATTATGTAAGAGTTCCAATATATTTTCATTTATTTATTTACCTTTTCTTAGTTGTTTCACATGCTGGAAAAATTCCCCTGGCTGCAGCCTGTGGGCACCGTGGAGCCAGGCCTGTTACCCTGTCAGCTTCATGAAGCACGGTGGATGACACCAGGCCTGTTACCCCGTCAGCTTCATAAAGCACGGTGGATGACACCAGGCCTGTTACCCTGTCAGCTTCATGAAGCACGGTGGATGACACCAGGCCTGTTACCCTGTCAGCTTCATGAAGCACGGTGGATGACACCAGGCCTGTTACCCTCTCAGCTTCATGAAGCACGGTGGATGATTATTTGTTAACGACCAGATCGGTTGATAATATTCCCTTATTTTCTAGATGCCTTATATTCATATTTAAGATTTATGTGCCCCCCCTAAACGACCTTGGGCCCCACACTGCCCACCCCACCCCCACCCGGCTGCCATGACACAATATAAAAAGTTCTGACCATCATTCTGAAACAGACACATTCCTTTCACAATAATACGCAGAGGAGCTGCGCACTGACTGCTGAGCGTCTGTGACGGTGAGACTGACAGAGACCGGGGGGCCGACAGGCCGGGTCAGCGGCGAGCTGGGAAATAAATCTGAAAGGAATGGCAGCTTAAAGGGACGTGGGCACTGGAGGGGGGAATAAGCTGGGCTGGGAGGGGACAGTCAGACTCTGATAGACTCACTCTGAGCTGTAAGGGGGGGCGCTGTGGAGTGGAGTGGACCGGTATCGGAGGAGCACGCTAAAGCAGGGCCTGCGCCTGTCAGAAGCTCACCTGTGTCAGGAAGAGAAGCAGCTCCTGGCTTAATAAAGGCCGCACTCCTTCAGGTTGTTCTTGATGATGACATCGGTGACGGCGTCAAAGACAAACTGCACGTTCTTGGTGTCTGTGGCGCAGGTGAAGTGGGTGTAGATCTCTTTGGAATCCTTGCGTCGGTTCAGGTCTTCAAAGCGGCACTGAATGTAGGCGGCGGCTTCTTCGTACGTGTTGGAGCCTGGAGGGGGGGGTGGGGGGCAGAGGTGCGTCTAAGTCATGAAATGTGTCAGCAAAACGTGACTGGGAAGAAGTGAGCAGGAACACCGCGATGATGTCATCGTTGTGACCGTTGTGATGTTGTCGTTTCGCACCAGCAATGAGAAGGTAATGTTTCTTTGCAGGCTGCTGCACGGCACGACCCAGCCTCAAGGGGGAGACATTGCAAGGCTTTGGTTATACTGAACGTCTGTCTCAACACACATGTTCAAATTCTTGCAAATGTGCCGCCATTAACAGGCTGAAAACAGACAGACACACATTCATATGCCACCCATGTACACATCAGCAACCACACTGGGAGTGACATGCATCAATATGTACAAACCCAGAAACAAACACGCAGATTCTCACACGTATTTTAACTGCATTGGCACATGCACCCACAATCATGTGACTGCAGCAACACGCGCATGTACACGGCCCTAACTGCATTGAAACTGTCTCATATACTTCTTCATATTTTCACACACACACACACACACACACACACACAAGCACACACGCGCAAGTCACATTTCACAAGCAATCGAATGTCTGCATGTGTCTGGGCAATTAGCGATAAGCTAGCAAAGGCTGACAGCCACATATTGCTGCAGAAAGGAAAACATTTGGAGTAGCTTGACTAAGACAAGGCAAAAAAAGATAGGGAAAAATTAGTCGATATTTCCATTAAAATGTCAGCTTGAAAATGCAAAGGTAAGTGGGGAAATATGCTGCGAAAGAAACTGTCAAAAGAGTCCGGGGCTCTCGTGTTGCTTTTGGTCACGACATCATGCTGTTTACGAAGCTCAAACACCCACAGCAGCAAAGAGTGGCATCACTGGCCAGTGCAGACGTCAACTGAACTTGAATAAGAAGCATGTTTGAATGAACTCTGATGCCGGCATACATAAACACACACATGTACAATCATGCAGCACCTTTAGTTTGTGTAAAAAAACACGCCGTAGGGGTCTACTGATCTCTTACGTGAGAAAAGCTCCAGTCGCCTAGTCATACCATGACAGCCATTTTCCCAGAAGCCTTTGCGGTCACAAGTCCTGTTACACAACAGTCTGCTGAAGCACTCCAGCACTGCTTTTGTGTGACAATCTACCGCGCCTTGCTTAAAAACAAATTAATCTTACATACGACAGTTCACAGTCGTAAGTACATTGTTTATAAGCAGTGCTGTAAAGCGGATTCTTTGCAGTGCACAGCTCACTGACTGTCATTTTGCTCGCCCCCAGTTACAGGTCCACATTCTTAACTTTTCGCTTAAAATCACATTATGAAAGATCTTCACGGATTTTCACTGATCATAAGGAGACCTTCCTGTACACAGCATGAGTAACATTTTTACACACTAATTAATTTTACAGATGGGTGATTCTGACCATGATACAGTTTATAAATATTGCCAAGATAAAAAAATTGGGTGAAAGGAACAAAAGTCAAGCCTATTTCTGGAATCTCTAAAAATTACTCTACTTCTAAGGAATTATTTAATCATTTTTGACTCTCAGTGCAGGTGGCTGTGGGTAGGTGGAGCTGAACACCCACTTAAGTCTAATTGCCTAGGGATGCTTTACTCAAAGTAACTTAATCTTGCCCATTTATAGACATTGATATTTTTGCTGCAGTAATTTGTGAAGTTCATCAGTTCTCTGATACACCAAGAGTATTACAGATAGGCCCCCTACTCACATTTTATTTGGGACAGAAGAACTTCTGTATTCCCTGCTTCCTGAAGTATGTATACAAACCCCAGAGGACCAATCCGCCACCGGTGTGTGAATGTGTGGTGTGAATGGGTGAATGTGAGGCATACATTGTAAAGTGCTTTGGTAAAAAGCGCTATATAAATGCAGTCCATTTACCATTTACCAATCAGACGTGGGCATCTCGTACCCTTCAGCTCCTCCCGCGCCCCAGGACTCCCTCCCCCTGAGGAGCCTTTGAAGGCTTTCGCCTTCCAAACCGCCCAGCATTACTTATAAAATTGTCGAACTGGGGACACGTTCGAACCAGTCAGTTGGCGTCAGCATCCGTGTTCACAAGGTCACCGAACACGAGCAAAAGCGGACGGTTGGCGTAGCCAAAGTAATTCCTCACCAGTGTACTCTGGGTAGCAGATGGTGAGGGGGCTGCTCTTCACCTTCTCCTCAAACAGGTCCTTCTTGTTGAGGAAGAGGATGATGGAGGTGTCTGTGAACCACTTGTTGTTGCAGATGCTGTCAAACAGCTTCATGCTCTCGTGCATGCGGTTCTAACGCGGGATTAGGTGGGGGAGGGAGATGCAACAAAATAAGGTCAAAAACTCATGTGCCAAACACTTAACTTTGATTGGCCAGAATGGATCACATGAGGTGACCAGGCCAATGGAAATGGGGTAATTGTGCTCAAACATCTTAAACATTCTCTCAGCATGGATTCATAGTGTCCGGCACATATATACTAAAAATGCACTTTCCACAGTGAATATATTTTCTAAGGGCTGATAGAAAGAAAGAAAGAAAAAAACCCGGTGAAAATAAACGCAGGTAAAGTAATAGTATGAAATGGAAAAGCCAGTGTCACAGAAGACGGCTTTACCTGCCCCCCCCCCCCTTTTATGGTTCTGCGCTCGGTCTAACCAGGCAGCGCAGTGCCCCCGCCCCCCCAGGTTCTGCAGCCTGTTCTCATAAATCACTGGCAAGGGGGGAAAAAAAAAAACCTGAGAAATCTGCCAGGAAAGGAAACTTCTGGCTGGGGAGGCGGGAGCCGCAGATCAGAGCTGCGGAACGGAAGCCTTGGGCATGGGGACAGGATAAGGGGACGGCTGCTGGTCTGGGTGAGGAGATGCCCGTCTGCACGTCTGCACGTCTGCACCGAGGCACACATGCACCGACTGCGACGTCGTGGCGCTACGGATGAAACCTGGAACCAAAGATCCAAGCCTACCATCTCCTCGTCCTCCGCTAGGACCAGGTCGTAGTCACTCAACGCCACGCAGAAGATGATGGCCGTCACGCCTTCGAAGCAGTGGATCCACTTCTTCCTCTCGGAGCGCTGACCGCCCACATCGAACATCCTGCGGGGAGAGGCAAGCTGGGTGATGTAGGGGCTACGGGTTTGTGCTTCCCCCAGGCGTGGAGCACGGTAAAGTGATCATCATCAGGAGTCCATCATCAGGACCGCAGATCTGCTCTCGCTCTCCGGGGCCTTTTTGTGAGTCAGCAAAGCTGGCGCTCCTCTCTTCAGGACCGAAAGCCTGGCTGAGGAACCAGCTCCAATGATAATTACGAATTTCTCAGTTTGCTGTGGTGCACATTTTATTACCCTTCATCCATGTATTCGAGAGAAAGACAGAAGTTAGTCGAGGACTCAATTAAGCTTAATTAATTATTCAGATACCTAATTATTCAGGGGCAGGGAAATAACAGGGAATCATTAAATCAAATAAATGTACAGATAATTAATGGTATTTTCCGTTTTAGGAGCCACGTTATATTCAAGAAATGAAGGGGAGGGATGTGTGAGATTTGGGCAAGAATTAAATAGAAGCCTGATCAACCTGCAATTTAGAGCTCAGCTGGAATTTAAAAGATAAATAAATAAATAAAGAAAATAGTCACAGCAGGTGCTGAGCGTCATGGGTGAAGAGCAGATGAAAAGGTGAGGTGTAAACACACGGAAGCCTCATGCGAAGCGGCTGCCGTCCCGAAGAGCCACCGGCAGCGGCGGGAAAAGGTCGCCGGGCACCGCTGGGAGTGACACAGGCTTCTAAGAGCAAAGCCAAAGGAGAAGCGGCGTCAAAAGTCACATTCACACGCCGGTCTTTGGAGCCAGGGCTGCACCACAGGAATTAAAGCTGGTCTTGGTGCAGTTACAGATCCACCGACGACCCTACCGAAGCTGTCGTGCTCTTCGCACCGTCAGCAGGGGACACGCCAACACTGGGCTCCAAAGTCAGCGCAGCGCTCAGATAACTAAAGAACAATCCTTAAACAAACAAGCCCCAGGCAATTTTAATGTATGGATCAAGCTGGAAAGGATTCCTGCTGCAGATATTTATATAAGCATTTAAATTCATCAGCTGCAAGCCAAGAATGTCAGATCAGCTACCAACAGAGGAAACCAATGAGCAGAATTTGTATGAAACCCAGCGAACTCTGCAGCACAAACCCTTATCATTCCGGCGCATTGTGTCCCCAGGCAAGCAATTTCATTCTGACTAATTAACCAGAAAGCTTCACACTATAAATGGCTCCATGGCAGAGGTGGAGAGGCTTCTGCACCCCCAGATCCCGGGGGCCACATATCTGCAGGTCTTCTCAGTTTCTTACAGGCCATTTCAAAGCAGGAGCAGCGCAGCTCAGCTCAGCCCAGCACAGCACAGCCCAGCCCAGCCCAGCCCAGCACAGCACAGCACAGCCCAGCCCAGCCCAGCACAGCACAGCACAGCCCAGCCCAGCACAGCCCACCTCGGGCATCAGTGTCCAAGGGGAAGCCTTTCAATGGCGCCCCTGACACGAAAAACCGCAGCAGCCAGATCTCTTTTCGGGAAATAAAAGGCGCCAGAAAAATCAAACGCTAAAAATCCAAGTTGCGTTTCTTGCCAAATTTTTATACAAGCAGTATAAGTGCAAAGATAAATCTGTGGTTTTACCAAATGTGTCCCAAGTTTCTCATTTTAAACTAAAAGACAAGAATATAACCCCTAAGATGGTTCTGGAATACTGATACCATCAAAAAAGCACAGAGAACTGGGGAGAAATCGCTGGCGGCCATTTGAGTGGTAAGGAGCCGCTAGCAGAGCTTTGTGAGGAATGAGAGCAGAGGCTCTCTGGGGGTTAAATAAGGGGGGGGGGTCACTCACTTGAAGTACAGCTCCTTGAAGGTAAAGTGAGTCTCCACAATCCCAGTGGTCTTCACACGAGTCCGCAGCACATCCTGCTGGGTTGGAATGTAGTTCGACTGGGAGATTCTTTCCAGGTCGTTGAGGTAGCTGGGCAGGAGGACAGACAGAAAGACAAGCAGGACGTTCACATCTTCTGCAGATGATGTGAACCATCAAAACACATCTATGTGACGTGCATTTCTGATGCACTGCTCTCACAGAATTCACTCACAACTAGTCAACAGTCAAAGAGAGCCAGAGTCTCAGCAGGCCAACCTCAGCATCTCCCTCCCTGAAGGCCTACTGACATACTCTTGATACATCGCGTCCATCGTGCGACATCCAATGGCGCGTAAGCATATGAAGCTTTAACCTCTGAGATGAGAGTTACCCTCATATGGGCACCAAGTGTCGGTCTTGCCCAGGACCTGCACCTACGTGACCTTGCTGGTTGCTACAGAGGGTTCTCACATCTCTACTTCAGACCTACACACTCAACTTAGCCAAGGCTGCAGAAGCATAAACTAGGATAAGGAGGACAACCGAGCGACAGCGTGGTGCTGAAGACCCTGGAACACAGATCTCTGGTCTGGGACCAGGCAGCTCTTTCTAACTGAAGAGCTCATTATGATTCATTGAAATGCAGACTGATTATTAATAACTCCCCAAAATTATATCTGATTAGAATACCAGATTCCACACTATGTACAAGATAAGGGTCACAATGTGGCAGTTAATATTAATACAAATTCCCCAGTCAGACATGTAACTGTACAAAAAGAAATCAATCATATCTAATCTACGGCTGTAGTCACATGCTTAAATGAGTCATCCTGATGGTCTGGGCTGGAAGCAGGACACACTAATACTAAGTTTAGTTTCAATTTTTATTTTCAGTTTCAAAAGACCAAACAATCTCAATTCGGTTCTCAGTGCTTCTGCATTAAAGGTAAAATCTCAGTCAGTTTTGCTTGTGTGTACATAGACGAGCCACAGGCAACAGACTGATGACACATCCGTGCTTCACTGCGACCTTAAATCCTGCAAATGATAAATCCCCCAGTGCACCTGCAGACAGTCCACATGGATCACAGATGCCCCCAGGTAAAATGTAAATGGAGAAGTGTTTTGCCATCGGTAAGCAAAAGAGCTGACGACAGCTCTGCAGTGTGCCGGTCAGGGCGAGGTGCCAAGACACAGAGCCACCACTAGGGGCGAAGTGAGCGCCGCAGCCAAAAGCGCGTGCAAGTGCACCGGGCCGCCTAAAGGGGAAGCGGAGAGTCAGACACAGCCCTTGGCTGAGAATAAGGAAGGAGGAGCAATGCTGAAAGCGACGGACTGACTGGCTGAGTCACGCCCTGTGACTGGACGGAGTGTTACACAGCATCTGCACATTAGCTGAAGGTGCGCGCCCTCGCAATGCGCGCCTGGGTGTGCCGGACGCCCTCGCAGTGCGCGCCTGGGTGTGCCGGACGCCCTCGCAGTGCGCGCCTGGGTGTGCCGGACGCCCTCGCAGTGCGTGCCTGGGTGTGCTGTACGCCCTCGCAGTGCGCGCCTGGGTGTGCTGCATGCTCTTAGATGCCTTGAAGAAATTAACATGCAATAATCACAGGGGTGGAAAGAAAAGGACTGTTACCAAACTGCACAACAAAGGCAGTTCTAACTAGTGATCAGTGAAACCCACCTTCCTCAGAAGTTTATTAGTGCTGATAAATTTTTCTCTTACACTGACCTAAATGAAATAACTACAGTAATCTTCTTTACCTTGATTAACTTCATCCACAGATGTCTGCCTTGCTAAGACATAAAGCAGTATGAAGATACGCGCGGACATTACTGTACACAGCACGCCTGGGGGGGAGGCTGTCGGTGTCCAGTGCCATACAGATACAGCCGACATTACTGTACACAGCACGCCTGGGGGGGAGGCTGTCGGTGTCCAGTGCCGTACAGACACAGCCGACATTACTGTACACAGCACGCCTGGGGGGGAGGCTGTCGGTGTCCAGTGCCGTACAGACACAGCCGACATTACTGTACACAGCACGC